AATTCAAAACTTATCAATACATCCGGCAAATTACTTTGATTAAGTGTGACAAACCTTGAAGCCTATGAGCAATCTGTCTATCTTTCTGCTGCTTAATTAATATTCAGAGTGCAAAATGTAAAATTATCCTCTATGCAAAACATCAAATATATTAATAACAGACTACGTATCACGGGCTTTTAAGGTAACTGTAAGTAAACATTTTTCTTCAACCAGCTGTATCAGCTAATTATAATGCCATTTCTATCCTTCATTTTTTTCAAATGCTTATTATTATTATTAGAAGACATTGAATATATGTTCATTGCTATGCAGATCACACTCTATATTTGACTCTATATGAAGCCAGATGACACAAATCAAATCCAAATTCCAAATTCAGACAAAAAAGGGTTTTTATAATGGGTCCTAAAGACATCCTAAACATGGTGACTAACCTGATACTAACTCTCGATGACATCACCTTGGCCTCCAGTAGAACTTTAAGAAATTAGTCATTTTTTCACCAGGATATGTCTGTCAGAGCACATGTTAAACAAATATGAAGGACTTGCCTTCTTTTATTAGATCACAGAGACCATATTTCTCCCATACTGACATTCTCATTGGCTCCCTGTTAAATCCAGAATTCAATTTAAAATCTTTCTCCTTACATACAAGGTCTTGAATAAACAGGCCCTATATTAGTGTGCCTTTTGTCCCATCTCTCTCCCAGTAGGTCTCAACAGACACTGCCCCTCCCTGAGCCTGCCAGGGTTTCTTCCTGTTAAAAGGGTGTTTTTCCTCCACACTTTTGCCATGATCTTGCTTATAGTAGGCTGTCTGATTGTTTGTGTTTCTGTTTAATATTGTATTAATATTACCTTACAATATAAAGTACCACGTAGATAGGAAATAAATGTAAAAATTGACCAATTTTACAAGACAAAAATAGAAAATAAAAAAGCCTTACTTCTTACATAAAACAATAAAAGACATTACAGGCCAATCACCTTCATTGTTGTTGTGTAATATCTCAGAAATATTTGTATTTGTTGACCTGTCAGAAATTCCCGTCTGACAGGTCAATGTGAGTAGTCTCTTCCTATAATTTTTTGCTAATTTTATCTGTTAAAGCACTTGAACTTCCAGGCACTGAAGATGTAGTCATTCTAATTCTGAAAAATAATTTCCCGGCAAGATTCTAAGATGTAAACGAACCCACTCGTATTAAATTAGTTGTGGAAACATTGGCGTTGTGAGCGTCTAACCTTCAGCAGTAACAAAAGGATTTCCTAAAACCCCGTTTGACACCTCTAAACAAAGACAGTACGGCTCTTTTAATAAACTGCTCCCCCTTGAGTTCCCTTTCCAGCACTTCCAACTTATTGTCCTGTATTTCCTTTTAATTTTTATAAACCCTTCCCAGTTTTCCCAGTACTATTTTATTTTTGACCTTCTGGCATCCTTAAAAGGTTTAGTCAGACAATAAACTTCCTTCTATTTACTACAACAGCTTTGCCTTAAATTAAGCTCTTATTGTTATTTTTTCAGACTTTGTTGCCAATGTCACTATAGTAATAGAAATTCTAAATGAGTCAGACCTATTACTAATGGTTCCTATCATTTTTTTTAATACCATCATTTGGAGCTACTAATATTTAGGCCCTTAAAAACCCAAAGCTTTGAATGCCAGGAAGCACAAACTGTAACAAAGGGACAAAAAACCCAGAAATCTCTGATAAGGAAGGCCAATACATAATTGTATTGGCATCAAAATGAATCCAAGACACCCGAGGCCCTTTAAATTATCTCAGTTAAAATGTAAAACCCTCACTTAATGTGTCTTTACAACCTACCCTTGCTTAAGTAAAGAGCAAAACAGTCCATCTCACCTTCTCTGCCTGGCCTTTTAGACAAACTTAGCAAATAGAAACAAACTAAATCAAATCAACAATCCAAAGTTCAGGTCTTCTGTACAAGAGAATATTTCAGGGGCTTGTCACTGAAAATATAAAACTGGACTCACAAACAGATTCTCCCCCATCACACAGCTGTGACTGTTAGTTTTCAACAACCTCAATAATAATTCTGAAAATGCCAGTGTTGGGTTTATCTAGGCACAAACCCCGCTGGAACATGAGACCAACTAACTGCACAACAAAACAAGGCAAGACAGAGCTCTTTGTCTTTGTGGCTCACGAGGTTAGTCAGTCAAAGTTGAGGAAAAGATTCCTTCACCTGAACTCAACCAACTTCAACTGATTCCTTTGGCTACATCACTTTTTATTGTCAGCAAGCAATCATTCTTGAATATGCAATTACAAATACTTTCTTAAGTATTCTTAAGCAACATCACTGTCTGTATTGTGTGTGTGTGTGTGTGTGTGTGTGTGTGTGTGTGTGTG